TTCATCAAAAAATATGTTCCAAGTCTTGGACATGAAACCACCCAGAATGCCCCAACATAGCACCTAGTACTTTTTAAAGGAGTCATACTCTAGCTTTGGCACTCTGCTGGGAAGCTCTTGAGCACGGAACCAGGGTTCATCCACACTGAGACATGCCCTAAGTTTAAAATACACACCAGATTTCAAAGCCTTCATATGAAAAAATAATGTAAAATGTCAAATTAATGATGTATATATTGATTACATGTTGAAATAACATTTAGATATATTGTGTTACATAAACTATATTATTACAATTAATTTCACCTTTTTTTTTTTTAGCCTTGTTAACATGGCTACTGGAAAATTTAAAATACACATGTGGCTCGCATTTGTGGTTTGTGTCCTGTTTCTATTGGATGGTGTTGCTTTAGAGCATCCTTCCTCCGTCCTCATCTGGTAGGATGTTTCCCCTCGGATGGACACACAGGAGACCCTGTCTGAATCCAGCCAGTGTGACCACAGACAGGTCCCCTAACCTAGGTAAGCCTCACTCTCCTCATCTGGAGAATGGGTGTTATGATAGTGACCACAGCGGGACCCTATTATGAGGATTAAATTCAGTATTCTGTGTAAAGTACTTAGCGCCCTGCCTGCCACATTACAAGCCTTCAGTGCATCAGTCAAATGTCATCTTCCACCTACTCTTGAGTCTGACTCCTCTTCTTTCCCATCAGGGTTTTGCTTTCCCCCGTCTGTCCTCTGTAGCACCTTGCCCTCTTTCCCCATGAGCCCTTCCTTCTTCTAAGATGTATGGCTCTTCCCAGTTCTTACAGGAAAAATATCTTCATTCGGGGCGCCTGGGTGGCTCAGTCGTTAAGCATCTGCCTTCGGCTCAGGTCATGATCCCAGGGTCCTGGGATCGAGCCCCACATCGGGCTCCCTGCTCCGCGGGAAGCCTGCTTCTCCCTCTCCTACTCCCCCTGCTTGTGTTCCCTCTCTCGCTATGTCTCTCTCTGTCAAATAAATAAATAAAATCTTTAAAAAAAAATATCTTCATTGTACTTTTTTTTTACTACTTACTGTCCAATTTCTCCCCTTCTTTTTGCAACTCACATGAATAGCCCACATTTCATTCCTCTACCTTTGTTTCTTTTTTTTGTTTGTTTAAGACTTTTATTTGTTAGGTGCGCCTGGGTGGCTCAGTCGGTTGAGCAGCAGCCTTTGGCTCAGGTCATGATCCTGGGGTCCTGGGATCGAGCCCTGCATCTGGCTCCCTGCTCAGCGGAGAGCCTGCTTCTCCCTCTCCCTCTGCCTGCTGCTCTGCCTACTTGTGCTCTCGCTCTATCTCTCTGTCAAATAAATAAATAAAATCTTAAAAAAAAAAAGACTTTTATTTGTTAGAGCAGTTTCAGGTTCACAGGGGAATTGAGGGGAAGGTACAAAGAGTTTCCATATACCCCCAGCCCCCCACATGCACAGCCTCCTCTCATCAGTATCCTGCAAGATGGTGCGTTTATGACACTCGAGGAACCATCACCACGGCGCATGGCTTACATAATAGTTCCCTCTTGGTGTTGAACACTCTGCGGGACTAGACAGATGTACGGCAGATACCCATCATTATGGTCTATACAGTGTTTGCACGGCCTTGTGCTCCACCTGTGCTCCATCCCGCCCCTTCAACCCTTAACCCTTGGCAACCCCCAATCTCTGTACTGTCTCCATAGTTTAGCCTTTTCCAGAATGTCCCATCGTTGGAATCACACAGTAGGTAGCTGTTCACATTGGCTTTTTTCACCTCATCAGAGGCATTTAAAGTGTTCTCTAAGTCTTTCTTTGCTAGCTCATTTCTTTTTGGCCCAGAATAAGATTCCGTTGTCTGGATGGAGCACACTGTATTCATCCATCACCTGCTGAAGGGCATCTTGGTTGCTTCCACGTTTGGGCGATTATGAATAACGCTGCCATAAACATCTGTGTGCAGGTTTTTGTGCGAACGTAAGTTTTCTGCTCCTCTGGGGAAATACCAAGGAGCATGACTGCGGGATCTTGTGGTCGTTCCTCCGCTTTTGACCCATCTTCCCCTTCCCCAGGCTCCCGAGCAAGTCCGGCTGCTGCCTGTGCCCTGGGGCCAAAACCATCTTAACACTTCCCCTGTGACTCTCATCCCAGCACGCCTCCTACCCAGTCTTCAGTCTTCCCAACCCTTTAGAATAAAAACAAAACGAAAACAAGCGTAGGGAATGTTCTTTTTTATTGAAGTCCTTCTTAGGACTGCAATCAAGCTCGCTCCCAAATGACATCCAAGACTGTGTCTGCCTGGAGACCAGTGGGGAGCCCACCTCCTCCCGGCTGTTCTTAGCTGGATGGAGCCCTTCCCATTGGCCCTGAGGTGAGGGGTGTCCTGGGTGGAGGCAGAGCCCCATGCTGGCGCCCCTCTGAGCCCTGGTCACTGGAGCGGAACGTTAGGGTCTGCAGTCCGCTCCCTCCTTTGTACCGCACGTGCTAAGCAGTAAACAGCCCTCCAGGACCCAAATAAAAAGGTCTTTATGGAGAGAACAAACACAAGCAAATGCCAGAATCCAATTTAAATGAATAAATAAACCCAATTCCAGAGACTACAGGCCACAAGATTTCGGGGACACGAGCCAAGCACGTTGGTTTCTCGTAAATGTGGGGGAGGAGGGGAGATCCCGGCCCCTGTTGGCAAACCCCGGCACCTCCAACTCTGAGGGTCCAGGCCCCTCGAAGGGAAGGCACTCTCCCCTGGCTTTCTCCACCCACAACGAGCTTTCAAGTTTGCATTCAGGAATAAAGGCGAGTGCAATCTCCCAGAGCTCTGGGAGCTAGCTCGTGGGTCCCTTGCTGGCCTGGGGATGTGGCCATTTTCTGGCTCGGCCTCCATCACTTCATCCCTCTACAAGCCCCACCTCGTCTCCTCCTCTGATGACCTTTCCTTTACTCCACCGTTCCACGCTATGCACAGTGCTTGCTCGAAGCTTCTGTCCCCTCTGGCTTCTACTGTCTATGGTGACACAATGCCTTCTCGCTGCTCTGCTCTGGCTCAAGCTGCTGTCTTGTCCAGACATCAGCCTCAGGCACAGCTTCCGTGGCCTCATGGCCCCAGTGCTCCTTCTGTGTCTCTTGACTTCTCTCCACTCCTGATGGACCAATTGTCTCTCCATCCCTGGACAGAAATCCTGAAAATCTGAGTGTGGGACAGGTTTCCTACCTGGTCATCTTATGGGCTGCCACCCCTCCTTATGGGGGCTCCTCAGACCTCCCCCTGGGCAGGAGGGAGGAGTGGGCGCTTTGGTCCTGGCGAGGGGACACGGATCTGGCCAGCACCTTGCACCAGATTGGTGCAATTTCTCTTCCCAGCATATCCATCCATCCGCGCCATCAATATTTAAGTACTCTCACGTGCCAGGCTGCGGGCAGGGAAGCATAAGAGAATTAAACATTCTTCCTTGCAGGAGCTCTCGGTCTGCAGAGGGAAAACCACAACCAGCTTCTAAGACAGTGCCTCAAACACAGTGAGTGGGACGGCAGGGCGCCAGGGATGAGGGTGGGCGGGCAGCGAAAGCCATCTGGAGCAGGGCTGAGTGCTGGGGGCCAGGTCGGAGAGAAAGGCTAGAACTGTCCCGCCATCCTCACCTGGCCCGGGCCTGGAGTGCTGCTGGCCGGCACCTCGTCGGCCTCGCTGTGGGGCAGAAACAACGTGGTCTCATTTCAGGGAAATGGGGCATCTTTGCCCCTTGGCTCCATCAGTTATACCTCTGGTTTTGACCTAAAGTTTGGCTTTTGGGGGATGCTGGGAGCTGTGGCTGCCAGCACGAGGAGGGGGCCAAAATAATAATAGTATCTATGTCTTTGCCCCAGACACCCCACCCACCCACACTGCGCTCTGGTGCAAGAGATTTGGAGCAAAACCAGAAGGCAAGGTCCTGAGCCTCGGGGGCCGCCGAAGGGCTGGGGAGCTGGCTGGGCTCTGGGCTCCCTGAAATCCTCAGACTATTTTTCAAACATCGGGGGATTGGTTAAAATCCAAAGTCAGTTTTTCCATGTTAGGTTTTCCCCCCTCCATTTAACCCTGCTTGTCGCTCGGTGGAAATTGAACCTTCCTGTGGGCGTGCGTGTGTGCATGCATTCCACAGCCCACTAGCACTCAACAGGGTAAGTTGGAAACAATGTTTACGGTTGACGCTATGTCATTCTATACTAAAGAGGAGTTGTATGGGCTGAATTGTGTCTCCCATCCCAAGTCATATGTTGAAGTTCTAAACCCAGAACTTGAGAATATGACTTGATTCCGCAATAGGGTCTTTCCAGGTATAATTAGTTAAGATAAGGTGACACAGGAGTAGGGTGGCCTTAACCAATGGGACTGGTGTCCTTCTTAACGAGGGTAATTTGGACACGGACACACATAGGGAGAATGCCATGTGAAGATTAGATCCGTATCTCCAGCAGCCAAGAAACTTCCAGAAGCTGGCAGCGAGGCCTGGGACAGTCTTCCCAGCACCTTCGGAGGGAGCATGGCCTTGCCAATACCTTGATCTTGGACTCCAGCCTCCAGAACGATGAGACAAGACATTTCTGTTGTTTAAACCACTCGGTTTGCTGTTGTGGGAGTCCCAGGAAACCCACACAGGATTTGCAATGCTGTTGATTTCCACTGGTGAGTCATTAAAAGGCATTCTTTTCAATTGCTTGGGATGCATTTTATTATTATTTTTTTTCTAGCACATACTTTCCTTTTTTGCTAATTGTTTTTAGGGTACAGGTAAACTAATAAAAAATGAATCTGCTTTTCTTCTCCACACACTAGGACTATAGTGTTCTTTCCTTCTTCTTTCCAGTATCCCTGTGTACTTAACCCACATCTGCCTCATTGTTTCTCCATCGCGTTAAAACAAAATAACACCTCCACCCAGGCTTCCACCCTCTGAAATGGGGAGCAATATGCCTGGATGGGCAAGATAGGGTTCTGAAGACAAACCCTTTGGTTGCACAATCTCTGCTCCATTCTTTATTATCTTCAGGACCTCAGGTTTGTTACAAAGCTTCCAAAATCTTTTGTCTCCAACTGTAATATGGGGACGTTAACATCTTATGAGATCCGAAAAGGTCATACACAAAAGACACAAAATACATACACAAAATACATCACCTGGGCAAAACATTATTTCAAAGGGCCGAGCTTCCTAAGATGCATTAAAGTTGCTCATTCACTTGGTAAACACAATCAAGAACTTTCTACCTGTCATGGAATGTTCTAGGTGTTGGAATGCAAACTAAAGCAGAATATTCCTTACCCCTTTAGGACTTCCCAGTCCAACTGGTGTGTCAGCATCAGAATGTGATTAAAGCTATGGGAATGATATCTGACTGACTTTTTCAGCCATCAGTGACAGAAACCCAACTCAAATCAATGAAAACAGAAAAGGAAATTTATTGGCTCCCTTCACTGCGAAATCTAAAGGCAAATAGATGGCTCCAGGCGTGACGGATCCGGGTATACAAACAACGCTATCAGGGATTGACTTCTCTCTACCTCTTGGTTCTCCTTTGTCCTGTGTTGTCATTCTTAGGCCGGTGACACAGTGGCTGCCAAAATCTCCCAGCTTACAACTGTGCCCATTTAGGGACGAAGCAGTAAAATCTCCTGCCCAAAGATGTCAACCAAAATCCTTGGGAGTCAAAAACTAATGTTGTAATGTATGGTGATTAACATAACATAATAAAAATAAATTAATTAATAAAAAAAAATCCTTGGGAATGTTCTCACTGGCTTGGTTTCACTCACATCCCTGTCTAGTGAACTCGTTATGTGGCTATGGGTTAGAAATACACCGAATGACCATGGCTGGCTCATGGGCCCATTCCTGGTGCCAGGAAGGAGGGCCAGCTCCTCTCAAGCCAGAAGGATAAAATGTGGAAGAGAAGTGGTCTCCCCAAAGGAAAATCAGGAACAGGGAACGAATGCTGAGCAGGCAGAAACAATAGAAGTCTGTTATAGAACAGAGGAGGAAGGAAATTCTCTGTCCAAGAGAGGAGTGAAGGTGTCAGAGGAAGCCTCAGGAAAGGGGAAATGCTTTGTGCCAAATACTTAAGCATGTTTGCCAGAGGAGAAGTCATTCTGTCAATTTGGGATGAGGTTAATCTAACAAGGACCTTGAGTTCCCTGCCTGCAGGTGAGACAACAGACTGACCTCTGTGGTTTTCTTTCCTGGATTGTATATTTCAGTTCTAGAATTTCCATTCAGTTCTTTTTTTATAGTTTCTATTTCTCTGCTGAGATTTCCCATCTTTTTTATTCATTGTAAGCATATTTTCCTTGATACCATTGAACACAATAATAATAGTTGCTGTAAAATGCTTATGTGATCATCCCAAAATCTAGATCGTCTTAAGGTGGTCTCCCTGGATTGTCACTTCTCTTGAAAGTAAGCCACACGTTTCTGGTTCTTCGTGTATCAAGTAATTCTGGGTTGCATCCTGGGCATGATGGAAGTTATATTGTGAGGGCTTTGGACTCAGTTATATTTCTCCAAATATCATTGTTACTGTTGTTAAGCAGGACATTAAGTTGATGGGGCTAAACCTTCCAACTGTGTCTCTTGGTGTTTTTAAGTAGGTGGACATTATAGTGGGCTGGTGGCGAGAGAGCATATGCCCTCATCATCCTCTTTCCCTGCATGCCCAGATGAGGAACTTTCTCTCAGGAACCAAACACACATATCCTGGCATGCTCTGATGTCAAGGAAACATGACTAGAGAGATTGATCTTTGTGTACTCGGAAGCTGCCTTAGGAGACTGTGATTTTAATTTCTAGCATCCCATAAGGCAATAAATTGGTCTTAGCTCCCATTATAAAGCTTTGTACTTTAGGGAAGTAGGGAGGAGCTGTGAAAATCTAAGGAAAATGGGGTGCAACTCGCTATAACCATTTGAAGAGCATTCTGGCAACATCAAGCAAAATTTATACTGGGCATGCCCTGCAGACCCACTCCTAAATAGACTCTGTAAAGCAGTTGCTAGGGACTGACAATTCGTGTATGAAAACCTACCCCCCAGTGTGATGGTATTTGGAGGTGGGGTCTTGGGGAGGGGGCTCGACCCTCATGAATAAGATTATATGCCCTTATAAAAGGGATCCCAGAGAATGGAAACTGGTGCAGTCACTATGGAAAACAGTACAGAGGTTCCTCAAAAGATGAAAAACAGAGTTACCATATGATCCAGCAATCCTGCTTCTGGGATTATTAAAAGGAAATAAAATCACTATCTTGTAGACATATCTGCAATCTCGTACTCATTGCAATATGATTCACAGTATGAATATTATTCACCAAGACATGGAAACAACCTAAGCACCCTGCTCAGCGGAGAGTCTGCTTCTCCCTCTCCCTTTGCCTGCCTCTCTGCCTACTTGTGCTCTATCTCTCTGTCAAATAAATAAATAAAATATTTTAAAAAACAAAGATGAGTAAGTCCTGGGGATCTGATGTACAGCATGGTGACTGTAGTTCACAATAATGTATTATGTACTTGAAAGCTGATATGGGGCGCCTGGGTGGCTCAGTCGGTTTAGCGTCTGCCTTTGGCTTGGGTCATGGTCCCAAGGTCCTGGGATCGAGTCCCGCATCGGGCTCTCTGCTCTGCGGGAATCTGCTTCTCCCTCTCCCTCTGCCGCTCCCCCTTCTTGTGTGCTTCTCGCTCTCTGTCAAATAAATAAATAAAATCCCCTGCTCAGCAGGGAGTCTGCTTCTCCCTCTTCTCCCTGCCTGTGCTCTCTCTCCCTATCTCTGTCTCTCTCTTTCAAATAAATAAAATAAATTTAAAAATCTTTAAAAAAAAAGGTGATAAGAAGATAAATCTTAATTGTTCTCACCCCTCCAAAATGGTAATTATGTGAATGACGGAGGTGTTCACCAATCATTTCCAAATATAAACATGTATCAAATCATCATGTCAAACACCTTAAACTTACACAATGTTCTATGTTAATCGTATCTCAATAAAGTTGGGAAAAAAGAGGTCCAGCGAGGCCCCTCGCCCTCCCGGCACGTGAGCACACAGCCGGAAGCCGCCGTCTACGAAGCAGGAAGCGTCCTCACCGGCCGCCAAATCTGCTGGCCCTTTGATCTTGGACTTCCGGCCTCCAGAGCTGTGAGAAAGAAATGTATGTGGTGTAAGCCCCCCAGTCTGTGACTTTGTTACACAAGCCCAACCCAAGACTGCAGCATTCCTCCAACTTTTCAAACTATGACCCACAGTTAGGAACACTTTATATCTCAATCTGGACAGCTACGCTACCCACACACTCACAAATACATACACACACACACACACACACACTTCCCTGATACAGAAGTCTCATGAACTAGTGACCAGTCTTACTGTGTGTGATGCCCTCTAGTACCTTTTATTCTCTTTTGTTCTTTAAACGCTGCTCAGAGCTCAGGAAGTTGATTTCGATACTCATTAACAGGCACCACCTTCATTCTGAAAAATATTCCCTGGAGAGACAAGGAGACAGGGACAAGAGTGTTCATAAGAGCATTGTTCATGATAGGAAGAACAAACCAAAGCACACCGAACGAGGAAGCGAAGTGCCGGTGAAGAGGAGTATGGATACATAGTGTAGGGCATTCCTGCAAAGGGGAATTGTACATAACAGACACGGATGAGCCAGAAGAATGTGTATCAATGTGGAAGAACTCACAAAATAATGTTGAGTCGAAGAAGCAAGTTGTAGAAGAATAGATACAGTTATATATATACACATGTATGGAAAACAATAGAGAGCTTCTATAGATACAACTTACGAATAGCACGTTCAGGGAGATGTTTATATACACATAGAAGCATTTACAGAAATGCGTCGGAATAACTAACACCAAGTTCAGGATCACTGTTAACTCTGGTCGGACACCAGCACTTCGGCGTTTTGTCTGGCAAGGTTTCCCACCTTCACCGCGCGGAGGGTGTGTGGTTTCTGTTGTATTAGTCTCTAGACTGTTTCTTTTTTTTAAGATTTTATTTATTTATTTATTTGACAGAGAGAGAATGAGAGAGCACATGAGAGGGGGGAGGGTCAGAGGGAGAAGCAGGCTCCCTGCCGAGCAGGGAGCCCGGTGCAGGACTCGATCCAGGGACTCCAGGATCATGACCTGAGCCGAAGGCAGTCGCTTAACCAACTGAGCCACCCAGGCGCCCCTCTAGACTGTTTTGATCATCTGTAGTTTTTATTCCTCGAAACATCCAATGAAAGATAACAGGATTCAGAACCCGGAATCTACTCTTCCGACATTCCGGCTGCTGATACACCACTTTGTGTCATTTCTGCTACCCCCAGCCCTTAGTAACTGAGAATTTGCTCAGACCCTTTATAAAATTTTCAGTGACAAATGCTGTGCAGGAAAACCGGAATGCACCTCAGCTACTCCGTGCTCGTTTTATGTTGCACATTACAATGCATTAATTTATAAGGGAAAATCTGGAGCCCACTTCTTGGCCCCGGGCTCATAACTAAGAAAGATTGCTCAGAAACATGCACTCTTTTATATATTTAATGACCTCAGGAATGAGGAAGGGCGGGGAGGGGAATTCAGCTATTTACTATGACTCTGCCCCCAGCCCTTTTCCCCACAACAAATTCTTTCCAGGTCTGTTTTAAAAGGTTTCATGGCGAACCAGTGAATAAAGACCCCATAGCAGGCTGGCCTTTATAAACAACAAGATTAGGCTACTGTGGAATAAGTGACTGGCTTAGCAGCTACGCACCTGAAGGAGGAAGAAAGGAGTGTGTGGATCTAATTGGGTCTCGTTGGAGAACAAATTAAGGTAGTATGTGTCTCGTTACTCAGTGACCCAGGTTGGGAGGAATCTGGAACGTCTCCAAGAACAGAAAATAAGGCCCCAGTGATGTGGAAAACCACAGGGGCAGGGTGGATTTAGGCAGGAACATCTCGCCTTGAAACGACCCCATCCTGGCCCTGGGCCTCTCCTGCCATTTTTAGCAGCCCCTCTTATGGGTGGCTCGAGGGGCCTGCAGGGAGGCCGCAATTTCCCTATGAAATCACTTGATCTCATGAGGGCACATGTCAGAGGGCTGCCCTTTGATCCCGCCTTTATTCCCAAATTTGAGATGAGACTGAGTAAAACCTCATCCTACCAGAAATCTGACTGTGATCCTGCCTTCCAGGTACGTGATGCTAGAATCATCTTCATAGGTACAGACGTGGGACGCTGGGTCCTCTTCCTAGGCGACCAGGAATGACAGGCCAACTATTGATCATGACAGAGCTGTCACGTCAGGTGAGGGACAAAAGCTTTGCCCCCACCATGGGCTGAAATTGGGGCTGTGACCTCCATCGAGAAAAAGGGCAGGAAAGGTTGGGGGTTCCTGAGAGGGGGAGGTGAGGCTGGAAAAGCAGAATATGAAAATAATTAAGAAAGGAGATTTGAGGGGTGCCTGGGGGCTCAGTCGGTGAAGCGTCTGCCTTTGGCTCAGGTCATGACCCCAGGGTCCTGGGATCGAGTCCCGCATCAGGCTCTCTGCTCTGCGGGAAGCCTGCTTCTCCCTCTGCTGGTTCCCCTGCTTGTGCGCTGTCTCTCTGTCAAATAAATAAATAAAATCTTAAAATTAAAAAAAAGAAAGGAGATTTGAGACAGAATGCCTGGATTTGAGGCAATATGACCTTGGCCAAATATAACCCTGGA